CTTAGCAATTTTGAATGCTTTATCAGGGACAATTTTCCTCCTCAGGATATTAGCTTTAAAGAAGTTTTCGTGAGCAATGCTCCTGAACCTTGGGTCATGTGTTGCAGAGGGTGAGGAGCTTGAAGGTGTAGCTGCTCTGGTCTGAGGTGGTGGAGAAGGTGAAGGTGCAGCTGCTCTTGGCTGAGGTGGGTCAGAAATTTCAATGGGTGAGGAGCTTGAGACACCATCAGTTTTGGCCCTCTTTGTTGCTAGATTATTCCTAGCTGCTTGAAGATTTCTGCTGGATCTTCTTCTTAGAGTGGTGGAAGCTCCAGCTTGCTTCTTCTTAGAAGGTCCAACTGGTGTGTTTAGAGAAGTTCTAACCATTTTTCACTTTCTGTGCATAGCCACTTTTGCCAGAAAAAAGGAAGCGTTCCAGAGAATTAATCTTTCCCATCTGTCTCTGCGTAATTCCTCTCATCAGTGAGAGTGAATGTTCCAGAGGAGTGTGTTTACTTTGATGCCTCTGTGTGATCAATTTTGTCAGTAAAAGTGATTGTTCCAATAGAAATCCTCAAAATGTATTCTCTGCGTAGCTTCTTTCCTGCAACATAGTGACTCTTTTCATTAATCAAATTCATCTAAACTCTCAATTAACTCACTTCTCATACTCTAATCCTTCAATTTACTTTTCTCAATTCCAAATCTCTAATTATTTATCAGATTCAACTCAGAAAAAACAGCTGCAACAACATATTGCAGAACTTAGATAAAATTGTAAAACATGATTATACAGATTTCTAATTCTGCAGATACACATTCTAAACATTGAATCTCAAATCAAGTACCAAATTCACTTCAGCAGAGATATGTAGCAGAATCAAATTGCAGAAATTTCAGATTATGCAGAATTTTAAACCTTCAAATACACATTCACCACATCAAATCTCTAATCAACTATCAGATTCACTTCAAAAAATCAGATGCAGCAGAACTTGCAGGGAATTATAAAAAAATTGAATATGCAGAATTACAAATTTCAAAAATTGCAGAATATGAAATACAAACTCCTAAAACAATACAAAAAACTTAAAATGAGTTAGAAATGTGGGTTGCCTCTCACAAAGCACTTCTTTAATGTCACTAGCTTGACATTAGTTGTTCCTCACTCAAGAGGAACCAATTTCAAACACACTTGGGCTTTCTCAAATTGAACTCTAAGGTAGATTTTTAGTCTTTGTCCATTCAAATTGAACTCTCTCCCATCCTTTGGATCTGCTATTAGTACAACACCATATGGAAATGCCTCTTTCACCACAAAAGGTCCAGACCACTTAGATTTTAACTTCCCTTAAAATCTCAACCTTGAATTGAAAAGTAACACAGACTGCCCAGGTTTGATATCCTTTTTTAGAATGAATCTGTCATGCAGCTTTTTGGTCCTTTTCTTGTATATTGTGGCATTTTCATATGCATTGAGTCTGAACTTGTCTAATTTATGCAGCTGTAACAGTCTTTTGTTTCCTGCACTAACTTGATCAAAATTCAACCATTTTACAGCCCAAAAGGCTTTATGTTCTAGTTCCACTGGTAAATGGCAGGCTTTTCCATACACTAACTGATAAAGAAGACATGCCAATTGGTGTCTTGAAGGTTGTCCTGTATGCCCACAAAGCATCATCCACTTTCTTGGACCAGTCCTTCTTTGAACTACTAACCACTTTCTTCAAAATCTGCTTTATTTCTCTGTTGGAAACCTCCACTTGACCACTTGTTTGAGGGCGATAAGGTGTAGCTATTCTATGCTTTACTCCATACTTCTCTAGGACTGATTCTAGATACTTGTTGCAGAAATGGCTTCCTCCATCACTTATCAGAATTCTGGGCACTCCAAATCTTGAGAAAATGTTCTTTTTGATGAATGCAATAACAGTCTTAGCATCATTGGTTCTGGTAGGAATTGCTTCCACCCATTTGGACACATAATCCACTGTTACTAGTATGTACTCATTTGAAAATTAACTAGGGAAAGGACCCATGAAGTCTATTCCCCACATATCAAACAATTCTACTTCAAGTATATTTTGCAATGGCATCTCATGTTTCCTAGATATATTCCCCATTCTTTGGCATCTATCACACCTTTCCACATAGTTCTTAGCATCTTTGAACATAGTTGGCCAGAAAAGACCAGATTGCAGAACTTTTCCTGCTGTTCTTGAACTTCCATGATGTCTTCCATATTCTGAACTGTGACAATGCCACAAAACATCTTGCTGCTCTTCCTCTGGTATACACCTTCTCAGCAGTCCATCTATTCCAATTTTGAACAGCAGTGGATCTTCCCAAACATAATACTTGCTGTCATGGAAGAACTTCTTTCTCTACTGCCAATTCATCCAATTTGGAACATGATGTGTAGCTTTAAAGTTGGCTATATCAGCAAACCAGGGCTGTGATTTAATCTTGAATAGGCTTTCATCTGGAAATTCTTCTTTTATTTGTTCCACTTCAAACGGTATGGCTTCAAGTGGTAATCTTGACAAGTGGTCAACAACACCATTCTCTTTCCCTTTCTTGTCTTTGATTTCTAACTCGAATTCTTGAAGAAGAAGGATCCACCTTAATAACCTGGGCTTTGCATCCTGTTTTGACAAAAGGTACTTAAGAGCAGCATGGTCAGTGTAAACTATAACCTTTGATCCTATTAAGTAAGACCGAAACTTATCAAATGCAAAAACTATTGCTAAGAGTTCTTTTTCAATAGTAGTATAATTAATTTGTGCAGGGTTAAGAACTCTACTAGCATAATGAATAACATGCAGTTTCTTGTCTTTTCTTTGACCTAAAACTGCTCCTATAGCTACATCACTAGCATCACACATCAGTTCAAAAGGATATTCCTAATCTGGTTTAACAAGTACAGGTGCAGAAATTAATTTCTTTCAAAGTGTTAAAAGCTACTAAGCACTTATCATAAAAAACAAATTCTGTATCCTTACTCAGCAACTCACTCAATGGCTTTGCAATTTTAGAGAAGTCTTTAATGAACCTGTGATAGAATCCAGCATGTCCCAAAAAACTTCTTACTCCTCTAACATTTACAGGTGGAGGCAGCTTCTCAATTACTTCAACTTTTGCAGGATCCACTTCCATTCCCCTTGCTGAAATCTTATGGCCTAAGATTATCCTTTCTTGTACCATAAAATGGCATTTTTCCCAATTTAGCACAAGGTTTGAGTCTTAGCAACACTGCAAAACAAGAGATAGATTACCTAGACACTGATCAAAAGAATTACCAAATACAGAAAAGTCATCCATAAAAACTTCTATAATTCTTTCGATCATATAAAAAAAAATGGACAGCATACACCTTTGAAAAGTGGCTGGAGCATTGCACACCCCAAATGGCATCCTGTTATATGTAAAAACTTCAAAAGGACAAGTGAATGCTGTCTTTTCTTGGTCTCTTGGATCAACTGCAATCTGGTTGTAACCAGAATATCCATCTAAGAAACAATAGTAGTCAAATCCAGCCAATCTCTCTAGCATTTGGTCAGCAAATGGAAGAGGAAAATGATCTTTCCTTGATGCATCATTCAACTTCCTATAATCTATACATATTCGCCATCTGGTTACTGTCCTAGTAGGTATTAATTCATTTTTTTCATTTGGAACAACAGTTATACCTCCTTTCTTAGGCACCACATGAACTGGACTTACCCATGAACTATCTGAAATTGGATAAATAACTCCTGCATCAAGTAGTTTAATCACTTCTTACCTCACTACCTCTTTCATTGTTGGGTTGAGTCTTCTTTGAGGTTGGACAACTGGCTTACAATTCTCCTCAAATAAAATTCTGTGCATGCAGAAAGATGGACTTATACCTTTCAAATTTGAAATCTGCCATCCTAGTGCAGATTTGTGCTTTCTTAACACTCTCAAGAGCTTTTCTTCTTGGTCTTTCTGTAGATTGCTATTTATTATTATAGGTTTGTTGTGGCCTTCTTCAAAAAACACATACCTCAAATGAGAGGGTAATTGCTTGAGCTCCACTTTGGATTCTTCTTTTTTTTCTTCTTCTTGAGGTAATTCTTCCTTGAGTTGATTTATTTCATTGTTCATACAGGGAAGAGAATCTAACTACAGAATGCATTCTTTTACTTTCTCATCTTGCTCTTCCTGAATATTATATTTCGCTGCAGCTAATGTGCTTTCCAAGACTGCACTTTCATCATTTTTTCAAAACAAAGTGGTATCACAGCATCTATTACATCAATCTTTATGCAGCTCATATCATCACTTGGGTGTTTTATGGCCTCAAATACATTAAAAATGACTTTCTCTTCTTGTACTCTCAGCATCAATTGACCTTTTTGCACATTTATCAAGGCTCTCCCTGTTGCTAAGAATGGTCTTCCTAGAATAAGAGGGATATCAACATCTACCTCCATATCTAGTATAACAAAGTCTGCAGGGAATATAAATTTGTCCACTTTGACTAAAAGATCTTCAACTACTCCATAACGATATGTATATGATCTGTCAGCCAATTGTAATGTAATCCCAGTCGGCTTCACCTCCTCAATTCCCAGCTTTTTCATAATGGCTAAAGGCATCAAATTTATGCTGGCTCCCAAGTCACACAAAGCTTTTCCAGCTGTACAATTTCCAATGGAGCAGGGTATGCTGAATGACCCTGGATCTTTCAACTTTTGAGGCAATTTCCTCTGCAAAATGGCACTGCACTCTTCAGTTAGTGGTACTAATTTTTCCATATCCAGCTTCCTCTTTTTAGACAAGAGTTCTTTCATAAACTTTGCATAAGAGGGCATTTGTTCTAATGCCTCTACAAATGGTATATTAATTTGGAGTTTCTTGAACACATCAATGAACCTTTCAAACTGCTTTTCTTGCCTAGGATCTTGTACTCTTTTTGGAAAGGGTAATCTCTTGTACTACTCTTCATTAATAGGCTTGCAGGCCTGCTCAAATTTCTGCTTCTTGCCCCTCTTTTCTTACTTGTTACTGCAATTTTCCTCATCATCTCCTCTCTTTAACATAGTATATTTTCCACTTTCGAAATCTTCTTTCTTCAACTCACTTTCATCCTTTGAATTGGTGACTTCATTTTTCTTTCTTGGGCTGGAAACTACTGCTCCACTTCGAGTGGTTATTGCTTGGCATTGTTTCTTTGGGTTCATTATTGTGCTACTAGGAAACCTTCGTTCATCTCTATTGGCCAGTTGCTCAGCCAACTGCCCAATTTGTGTTTCTATCTTCTTTATAGAACTTTCTTGATTTTTAAAATTCGTTTCTGTCACCTTCATGAACTGCAGTAATGTTTCCTCAATTCCATTCACTTTCTCACTCAAGGGTCTTGAATTTGAATACCCTTGATTTTTCTGAAATTGTGCAGAGGAACTTCCTTGAAAATATTGTTGCTGGACTTGAGGAGCTGCACTTTGGAAAGGTGCAGTAGCTGTATTTCCTCTTGCATTAGAATTCTGTGGATTCCACTTGAAAAACTGTTGTCCTCTATTGTTATTAAACTGGAAACCAGGTGGATATGGTTGCTGTTGTCTTTGATTGTTGCCCATATAATTAACTTGATCAGGTTGTTCTATAACTGTGGGATCACAAGCTCCATTCATATGGTTGCCACCGCAGAAATCACAACTCAATTGTGAATTTTGGACCACACCAGTCTGCATGTTACTTATTTGTTGAGTCAAGGCAGCAAGCTGTTCAGAAAATTGTTGATTCTGAAGTTGATTTTGAGCAAACATAGCTTCTATGGATTTTACATCATATCCTCCTCTCCTTGCAGCTTGTCTTTCATTCATATTTTGATACATCGAGGATGCCATCATTTCTATGATTTGCTGGGCTTCTTCTAAAGTTTTTGAACTCAATGAACCACCAGCTGCTGCATCTATCATGGTTTTAGTTGCAGCAGTCATTCCATTATAGAATGTTTCAAGTTGCATCCACTCAGGTATGCAATGATGAGGACATTTCCTTAATAACTCCTTGTATCTTTCCCATGCCTCATATAATGGCTCTCCTTCTTGCTGAACAAAAGATGTAATCTCCCCTCTAATTTTTGCAGCTTTTGAAGGAGGAAAATATTTGATTAGGAACTTGTTCACCAGGTCAGGCCAGGTTGATATACTCCCTTGTGGCTGGGCTTGAAGCCAGCACTTGGCTTTATCCCTCAATGAGAATGGGAATAATCTAAGTCTGATTGCATCCTCACTTACCCCATTGATTCTGATTATGTCACAAAGTTGCAAGAAATTAGAGATGTGCAGATTTGGATCATCTGAATGGTGTCCAGCAAAATGATCTTGCTATACTAGATTTAGAAGTGCAGGTTTTATCTCAAAGTGGTTGGCCTGAATTGTAGGTCTAAGAATAGAAGAGCTGAATCCTTGGAGATTAGGAACTGCATAATTCCCTAATGTTCTCAGTCTTGGTTGTTCTCCCATCTTTATTTGTCTTGGAATCTGACTGGTTTGAGGTGTTGATGTAGAACTTTCGTTTTCCTCTCTTTGAATCTGTTTAATTCTTGCTTCACTTCTCAACCTTCTTAGAGTTTGGTCAATGTCTGGATCAAATACCAAAGTGGCTTTATTTTTGTTTTCCCCTCGCATATACAACCAAAAAGTTAACAAAGTTAAACTAAAATTCAATAGTCAAATATACACTAACAAAGCTGATGCAGAAAAATAACAGCAAAATCATATCAAAATTTGCAACTGCATAATTATACAGAAGTGCAAAATCATGCAGAAATTACCTACTAATTTTCTATACTTATCTAAGTACAGGCAAAATAGAGTACTTTTATGCAATACGAAATTGAAGAGAAAAATTCAGAAATTAAGAACTCAATTTAGCAATTTTTCTGTTACTAATGATATTGAAATACAAAATTCTCCGGCAACGGCGTCAAAAACTTGTTGTTCGCAATCCAACACTAGCAAGTGAACTAGAATTGTAGCAAGTAATAAGTAAAATTAAGATTCGAATATCGTCTCCACAAGGAATTTAGGTTTCAAGTACCACTTCACAGAATTATAACCATTTGAGGCATACGAATTTGGAATGAGAGTTGTAACATGTAATAGCAGCAAACCAGAGCAATTAAAAGTAAAGAACTTGCAGAAAAATAGAGTTTAAGATTTGTGATGAAATGAGATAGGAATGAAGAATAGTTAGGAATTTACTTCATAAGAATGTCAATATTAATTCACTTATGCCTCTGAACATTCAAGAACTTGGTTAATTGACAATCAGTCGCATATTAATAGCCAAAGGTTAATCCCTTAACTCATTGACCCTAACAAGCAACTAAACCACCCTAATCCCTTAGGTGAAGTTCAATTTCATGTTGCATTAAGAATTAGAGCATTAAGATTGCAGAATTAAGTGTACTTATCCCTAGGAAACTCCTAATTCTGGTTGTTAATTCAAATCAGAGAATTAAGTCCAATTTCCATTGGCAAATGTTCCTCTAAGGTTAATCAAATGAATTCTCATTCAAAGATTATGTAAAGTGCAGAATTAACAACTCAATTAATCCAAATACTCAAATTTCAAAAGCAAGAATCAAATCAATACATCAATTCGAGTTCCAAAACACCTAACTACAAGAAATTACACAGACATTGTGGTAGAGAAAGAGAAAGAAGGAGAAGAAGAAGAACTCAGAAAAGCCATAGTCACGAGCTTCAATCCAATTCCTCTTCTTGAAGCTTCGAGGTTTGACCCCACTCCTCTCTCTCACTCTCTCCCAACGAGAATCTAACAGAAAAAATAGAAAATGAATGAAAGACCCCGAGATCTGAGCTCAAAACATGTATTTATAGAAATCCTGATTCTTGTGCGTGATCACTTTTATGAGTAAAAGTGGTCACACGCAACTTGCCAAGTTGAGGACTCTTTAGAACATTCACTTTCAATGATAAAAGTGGTTACGCAGAATACTCTGAAACTTCGCCTTCTCTGGAACGTTCACTTTCGCCAGTAAGAGTGACCACACAGAGTATACTGAAATTCTGCCTTCTCTGGAACACTCACTTTTGCTGATTAAAGTGGTTACGCCAAGCTTGCTGGGTCTGAAGCTTCTCTGGAATGTTCACTTTTGTTGGCGAGAGTGACAACGCACAACTAAGCTGAGATTGAACTTCTCTGAAACGTTCACTTTCAATGATAAAAGTGATCACGCCCACACTCAACTTCTCCTTTAAGCTATGAATCACTCACTTTCGCTGGCAAGAGTAACCACACCCAGCTTAAACTCCATGAGCCATGTTCTTTGAGTCCAGACTTGCTACTTTTCTGCTATTTCTCCATTGATCTATCAACCTCATGATCTTTACTCAGCATTTTCTACAAAAACACACGTCAATTATTAATTTTTTACACAAAAAATTCATAAATGCTCAACTAACTATGTATTTAAAGAAATTCTCCAATCCTTCTATTTTTATGATTTTTTTCTACTTTTTCCAACACATTTTCCTTATGAAATGGATTAAAACTACAGTAAAATACTAGTAAAAATATGGATTCATCAGTGCTGAAACTAACCTTGTACTTAATTATGAGAAATGCCACTTTATGGTACGAGAAGGTGTAGTTTTAGGGCATCTTATTTTTGAGAGGGGAATACAGGTTGATAAAGCAAAAATTGATGTTATTTCCTCTCTGTCTTACCCTGCATCTATGCAGGAGGTGTGTTCTTTCCTTGGACATGCAGGTTTTTACCGTTTTTATTCACTGATTCATGTAAGGAGGCGTTTGAGGAGTTAAGGAGGAGACTCACTACAACACCTATCATACAGCCACCAGATTGGAAGTTTCCTTTTGAGTTGATGTGTGACTCCTCAGACTTTGCACTTGGAGCTGTATTATCTCAGAGAGTTAATCATGCTGCACTGAAATTCCTATTGAAGAAGCCAGATGCTAAACCCAGATTGATTAGATGGATACCTCTTCTGCAGGAGTTTGATATGGATACAAAAGACAAGAGTGGAATGTTGAATCAGGTTGCTGATCACCTAAGTTGTATTGAAGGGCCCATTGATCCTTTACTTATTCGTGACAGTTTTCCTGATGATTATTTATTTGCTCTGTATTGTATAGAATCTGTACCTTAGTTTGCTGATATTGTAAATTATTTGGTTACTTCTGTTGTACCTCCTGATGCATCTAGATTCCAGGTTGATAAGCTTAAGAGTAATGCTAAATATTATGTTTGGGATGATTCATATCGGGGGAAATTTTGTAATGACCAGGTTATCCGTCGGTGTGTTCCTGACCATGATTTTCAGGATATTCTGCATTTTTGTTATAGAACATTTGTAGGAGGCCATTTTGGACCGCAGAGAACAGTCAGGAGAGTATTGGACAACGAATTTTATTGGCCCACCATATTCAAGGACGCAGCTAGGTTTTCTGAGAGTTGTGAGATATGTCAGAAGACAGGAGGGACTATCACTTGGAGGCATGAGATGCCTCAACAACCCATTATTTTCTATGAGGTTTTTGATGATTGGGGCATTGATTTTATGGGTCCTTTTCCTGTTTCTGCTGAATATTCTTACATCTTACTTGCTGTTGATTATATGTCCAGATGGGTGGAAGCAAAGGCCACCAGAACTAACGATTCTAAAGTTGTTTCAGATTTTCTCCGTACTCATATATTTTGCAGGTTCAGTGTGCCTAAGGCTGTCATCCGTTATTAGGGAAGTCACTTTTGTAACAGGACCATAGCAACATTGTTCCAAAAGTATGGGGTTATACACAGAGTTGTTACACCATATCATCCCCAAACTAGTGGGGAAGCTGAGGTATTCAACAGGGAAGTCAAGCACATGTTGTAGAAGTTGGTGCACCCTAATAGAAAGGACTAGAGTAAGTTTCTGGATGATGCTCTCTGGGCTCAAAGGACAGCTTACCAGACACCATTAAGTATGTCTTCATTTCGAGTGGTGTTTGGTAAAGCATGCCACCTTCCGGTGAAAACTGAGCATAGATTATATTGGGCTGTAAAGAGTTATAACTTGATACATGAGCAGGCTGGAATTGAAAGGAAGCTCCAACTTCAGGAGCTTGATGAGATACGCTTGCAAGCCTATGAGAATTCTAGATTGTATAAAGAGAAAGTTAGGAGATTTTATGACACACATATTTTGAGAAAAGAGTTCTCTATAGGCCAGAAAGTGTTATTGTTCAACTCTCTGTTGAAATTGATTGCAGGTAAGCTTTGATCTAAGTGGGATGGACCTTTTGTGATTACTCATGTTTTTCCCCATGGTGCAGTTGAGATTCAGGATGAAGCTACCGACAGGACTTTTAAAGTCAATGGTCATCAGCTGAAACTATTTTAGGAGAGCAAAGCAGTGGAGTCAGCTCAAAACATAGTTGATTTATCCTTAGTGGAGCCGACTTTGATGGAGGATGTGTCTACATAGGCACTTGGGGCATTGTTTTCTTTGACTTTTGTTTCTTTTCCTTATACTTTCCTTTACCTTTTCTTGCATATGTTTTGCATTTTCTATTTCTTTTTCCCACATTGCGGACAATGTTTGATTCGAGTGTGGGGGGAGTATGCCTTAGCATATTTTTCATTAGATTCCTTTGATTTTGGATTTCATTTGTGTGAGCAACTTTTTATGTCATTCTTAGTTGAGAGTTCCATAACATGATAAAATTGTTTCATGCATTTTAGTTTAGCTAGTTTTTCATGATAATTAGATTTTGGATCAATGATTCGTAGAATAATTACCTTAGTAAGATTTGAGCTTATTGTCTTTCTTGTGTGATTCACTCATGTTTGTAAGTACTCCAGAACTTGACTTGACTCTTTTTGAGATTATTTGTTCGCATGCACTATTGATATGATTTAGGCCTTCTTTCACATTTTAGCTACTTAGCCAAATTGACTCATGATGATGGTTTATTTTGAGGTGTTTAAAAGATTTGTCGCAAATCCTCATCAAAATTTAAACAATTTAATGTAGTACTAGGGTTACCCTAGATTGTCTCCCGTGAACATTGGCTATTAATCTTCATTAAACATGTTGAAGGCATTAATTGAACAAGCAATTAAAATGGGGGGGTTTTGTAGTTTCAAATCAAAATAAAGAGTAACAAATAAACGAGTTTAATTAGTTCAAACAATAGAAAGCAGCAATCCTTAGTTCATCCACAAAGATTCTATCCTCATTCCACTCAAGATTTAACATTCATCCTCTCTTCCATGAATTAGGTTAATTTAACAAGCGAAAATCAACCTTATGGTCCCAACGAAATTACGCAATTTGTTAGGTTCTAATCTCTCATTCCAAAATTACGCAACCTTAGAATTAAAACCTAGGATTAAGCAATCCCTAGTTTAGAATCTCCTTAAAACGAAATTAGGGTTAATTGAGCAATACTCCCCTCATTCACCATTAATTCAATTCAAGAGACAAGGAAGAAGTAATTCATGAAAAGAAAGGAATTATATTATCATTAAATTCAAGGAACTCAAGAATCTATGCGAACTTACTAAGGATTACACAAAATTTAGCCCTTCATGGAAATGGGGGTCAAAAACGCAGTTAGGAAATGCAGAAAACTCATTAACATTAATGTAAAAGCA